TGATGTATCATTTTCAGTAACTCATTTTTTTCAAATCCAATTAAACAGAAAATTTGTGTGAAAAGTGCGACGTGAATGCGGCTTGTAGGTATGGGCGCTGCGTATGTAATGACGGATTTAGAGGAGATGGCTTCCAATGCACTGGTAGGCGGTCTATAATTATTTTAGTTTACATTCATCAAATCCCTTTTCTTACAAAATAAATATCTAAAGATGTCCTTGAGAACGAACAGAAACCTTCCAAACATGGAAGTATTGGTGAGGAAAAGAGTCTAGGTGCTTTCCATTAAATTCATGACGTGCGGAACTTTCCCAGAAAGTTTATCGGAAAATCGGTTGTTTCCGAAATGCGAACCATTAGATAAGCCCTTTGAACTCTTGGGGCGAACAAGTATAAATATGTTTAAATGAAAAAGGAGAGAAAATTCCAGAAATTCTTGGAGTAAAGTCAAATTAATCCGAAATTCCGGTAGCAATTTTCGAAAATTTGGGTACTCGGAAATTCCGAAAAATGCTCTTTCAGTCGCCACTGGCCGAAAGTTTCCGGAAATTCAAACCAGAATTTTCGGTGGACTGGAGAGCACCCTCAGTTAAAATAATAATAATAATTATAATCATCATCATCATCATCATCATCATAATCATAATAATACACTTATTGATCGCTGTCCCTGTAATCACGCGTTTTGTTCACTTGCAGCCAATAAGAATCCATGTATTCCAAATCCATGTCGCAACAATGGAACATGCAGTAAGGGACCTGATGAAAGCTTTGATTGTACGTGCCCGAAAGGATATTTTCCGCCTCTTTGTACAAGTAAGAAGAATATGATTATTTTTTCTCTTCGATTCAATTGAAAACGATTTTAGACAACTTTATAGACACATGATTTCATGAGAGACTTTCCAAATCTCCACAGAGTTATGGAAACACGAGGAAAGTCGTGAAAACTCAGAACAGCGGTGAAAGTACTCACCTGCAACTTATTGGTTTCCCGTTCTCCCAAACGTATACCTTTTGACACACATATTTCTGTTAGAAAGGGAGCCAATTTTTGGACAGATAGCGTCTATATATGCTACTCGATAAGCAAGACAAACCGTTGCTACGTAATTATTTATATGGTACGTTGACTAGAAGAAACATGACCTCTTGTGCTAGTGATCAGCGCTTAAAATAGCTATTATGTTGCTCTTATAACAGATTGCAATCTTTTTTTTATAATTTACACTCATTACTGCCACACAAAAATAACATTATATGGAAAACTAACACTAAATTAATTACTTAATACTAAAAACTGGGCATGAGTACAAGTTGATTAACAATTACTAAGTAAACTTATTACTAACAACCGTACTACTTACATACATACATATATGTACAGAAACGAAAGACACAAAACCGTCAGTGCTCAATAACGAGAATCCATTAAATAGCAGATACGTCTGGGAACAGGCTGCAATCAGGAATGGGTTGTTTATGTCATCATAACAAGATCTCGCTAATATGGAAAATTAGCAACTAACGAGTGAAAATTTACCTTCAAATTCCATTCGATCATCATCATCCATTTCTTCAAGCCAGTCTGTAACAAAGATAATGTTTAAGAAATAGAAAACATATACCGTGTTTCTATCGAATTATGGAAACACGAGTGAAAGTTTGGGAGAACGAGAAATGCTGTGGGAACACAAGCCGCAGGCGAATGTTTCCACAGCTTTTTCGAGTTCTCCCAATTGAAACTTTCACGAGTGTTTCTATTTAACAAATAGATTCTGTGTTGCCGTGCGTCTGTTCAGTAACAGATCACAGATCACGTCAAAATGGGGTAAGAACAAATAAGTGGCACACGAGGCGATAGTGTGCCCTGAAACGGACTGGAACATTCGCGTCGGAAAAGAAGGTTAACCTGACTAAACGCTTAAATATGTGTTTATTTAAACTGATGATGTTTTCATGTTTAATTCCTGGAATCAAACTGTGTCAACAATCATTTTGACACTGGAAAAAAGTTGAATCTTTTAAGTAAATTAATGACATAAACATTTTGCTTATTGGTTTTGTTAAATTCGTGACAAAGCAATGGTTTCTTATCTAGAGTAATTTCAAGACCAATTTTTGTGTTTGGTTTGGTCTCGCTCGACTGCCGACTGTGACTGCTCGAGTATTTTTTCTGAGTCATTTTCTAGAAAAGAAACGGCTTGTTTTTCTTTCTTCTTCCAGACTCTCGTACCTGTTCAATGCCTTGATAAGACTTTTTTGTACCCTACCTTTCCCTAGTCACGTGAAATAGTATCTAAATTCTCAAAACTTTCAGCCATTTTAAAGACTGGGGGAAAAACTTTGAAATGATGACGTCAATCGTGCGTCTGTCCTCTAATAAATCATAGGCGAAATCCATTCAAAATGCGAGAATAACTTGGGTTATTATGTAAAACTCGATAGAAACACGGAGAACATGTTTTCTTTTTCTTTTAGAAAACACAGCGACGAAAAAAGGAAAACAACTTGTTACCTTTGATTATCAAAATGTAAATTCTCTTTGCTCGCGTCATTATTACGCCAACAGCTCGTGCTAATTCTGTGTTTCTATCGAGTTATTAGAAACACAAATATAAACGGCGCGCGTATTTTCTTAGGACTGTTTTCTTATAATAATTAGATACGTGGGGTAGGCGTTGTGCGCCGCACATCTGAAAGCTTTGTTGTTGTTGTTTTGCTTTGTATTTTTTGCCTTTTTTCTGAAGTGCGATACTATTAGGATCCAGATTCAGTAAGGATAATGAAAAGGTATGAAAAAAAGAGAAGAATATAGGAGAAGAAAACTAATAAAATTATTGATTATCGCCTGATGATTAGCCTCTCATACCGTTAAGTTTTTCTTGGCTAGATTTCGCATCGTCATCGTTGGACAGAGAGCCAATTTCTGAAGGGGAATGGAACGAAAAAAACACACATTAAACGACCTAGACATCAACACAGTAATCAATACATATCAATTCAGGTCGCTGATTGCAAGTTTCAAATTAGAACATGATAAGTAACCGTCAAGTGCTTCTAAGAACTGTACTGTACTACAAAATAAGACTGGCAAATTGAAGGACGCAAGCGAATGGTGGTTAGGGGTNTTTTAGCTTCTCAGCTCATGGTCGATATAACAGAAATAAAGAATTCATTAGAGTGAAAAAGCCTGCTACCCATTTAAAATTACTTGGCTTATTACTTGGCATTCATCAATCAAGTAGCCCTCGCAATAAAAAAAAGGCTGACATAAGACAATCAACTTAATAGTCTTAATAGGCCAACTTCGATACCTAAAGTGGCGCTGAGGCATAGGGGACTAAAACAAAAGAAATTGCCTCAAACTTAACTATAATGTAATTTCTTTTGATCTATTCCTCTAACCCTCGGGGCCATGTTTGAATTTGATACACCTAATAGTAGCAGGAGCCATTATCGGGGGCGGAGACCGTATAAAGCGCGCGCCATTTCTAGCATTGGTGCTGTCCCTAAAATATGGAACAATTTTTCTATTTTAAGAACAAATTGCGCTATCGCGTGCGGTACAAGCGCGTACTTGCTGCGTGGATTTTTGCGGATGTAGCGCGGGGAAAATGCCGTCGGAAATTGCCGTAATTTTTGATACTTTTGACCCACAACTCAATACGTTTATGTCTGTCCAATTCCGCCGGTCCCGTGTAAATGCATGGTGCAACCGTGCAAGTTTTTGTCCGTGCAAAATGTGTCCGGACCCGTGTAAACGGGGCCCAAATTTCACATATAATGAAGATTAACAGCTTGTTCATAATACATCGAAAATCTAGTTGGATATATTTGGATATAGCGGTGTTTTATAACTTCAAAGTTTCCCTCCTCTTACCAGACGCTTGCGGGGATTTCGCCAGTCTATCGCGGCCAAAAAGTAAAACAAATTTGTAAGTTTGAGTTTCGCCCGAAAACAACACTTAATGTTTCATCGAGGCCCAATAAGTTTACGTCTCTAGATACTGCTCAGTTTTGTTTGTGTAAAAATCCAATAAATTGTCTATTGTCGATGAACAAGAGCGCCCGCCGTTGCGTGTTTTGTACAGTCAGTAAACATGAGAAATTGGACTTGGGCACTTTCCTGTGGAAACATACATCGAACTCAAACAATCACAATATCTCTATAGTTTTTACATATCAGTTAAGGTTGACAAATGTTTGAAAACATAAAAGCTTAGCTGAAAATACGTGAATACAGCAGAAATACTCTGCAAAGTTACGATGACGCTTTCTTTAATCAACAATTAACTTCGAATAACGATTTCGATTTTGCTGGTCGAGTTATCAAAACTCCTTGTCTATTTTATTTTCGCAGTGTAAAACTTCACTGTGTTGAAGAAACAGACATGATGTTAGTAGCCTTTTGTCGTTGGTGAAAATTGTTGCAGCATCTCAGCACAAAAGATAACGAAAGAAATCATTGTCAAGATTTGTTAACAATTGAAAACACCCACTCAGACTTGAAAGTGGAAATGAGCCACCTGTACGCGTCAGACTTTCCTTTCAAAAACTTTTGCAACCTCGCCAAACAAGCAGAAACAATAAGAAACATCAAAAACAGGTTTTGGTTATGATTAAGCATTGTTTGAGAAACTCACAAATTAACTCGATACCAGAGTGGAGAGTTTTCTTGCTACATTTTTAAGTCAGAACTAAGGCAAAAGCGTACGCGTAAGCTTACAACTAACGCGAGCAGATCTTATTATTATTCAGTGTTGTTTTCGACCCTGATAAACTCACTTTTTCCATTAGCTCAGAGCATAAATATAAGCGCCTTGGTTCGTAGTCCCTGCCTTATTCCCCGCCATCGTTGTGAAAAATCCGCAAGAGAATCTCGCAACTCTCACCATTTGATCACACAATGTGACAACATCCACGCGAGAAACCACGACATGTGCGTGGATCTGCGCAGATAAATGTCGTCAAGATGGCGCAATTTGTTCTAAAAATAGCAAAATTGTCCCATATCATAGGTGCGCGCGGATCCCAAGACTTACGGTCTCCGTCCCTGATTTTCACTCCTGATATATAGTAGCACTATTGTATCCACTTAAGATTCTGTTAGTGTCCTGAATTAGCATACATGTGTATAATTAGCTGGAATATTTTGCCTTTTAGATTTTTCTACTTGTGTGTGTGTGTAAATGTCCTAGTTTTAATGTATCCACTTAATATTTTATTGGTGTCCCTAATTAGTTTGTCAAAAGCTAAACACCTCGACACTTAAATAAAGTCCAACTACTACTAGTACTGCTGCTACTACTACTACTACTACTACGACGACGACGGCGACGGCGACGGCGACGACGACGACGACGACGACGACGACGACGACGACGACGACGACGACGACGACTACAACTACTATATAAGAATCCCGTACGTTCATGACAGGCCAATTATCGACACAGCAACCCGTGACTCTGAGCTAACACTCAGCCGCATTGGCAAAATGGTTGCCCAGTATCAGCTTCTGAAGTCGCCACTTAAGAAGAAGGACCGTGCTGACTCGACATTTCTCTTGTTTTCTTTTCTTTTCGTTTCCCTCATCTCTTTTTCCACTCTCTTTTCTACTCTCCTGTCATTTCCTCTTAATAATTGTTTCTTTCGCTCTTTGACGCAGCTGTAGATGTATGTACCCCTAATCCTTGTAAGAATAGTGGAATCTGCGTTAAAGACGGCGTCGATAAACATCACTGCATCTGCCCAGATAATTTTCTGCCACCTGACTGTGCAAACAGTAAGTAAACAGTAAATGTCGGTCGTTGAGTTTATGCTTCTTCTACTAAAAGGGTATCTCTTTCCAAGAGATGGATCTAGTGCAAGAAAATAATACATAACGTCATTCATGCGAATGGTGATACCACTGGACCAGCTCTGATAGAGAAGGGGCTTACTCCACCTTATTATGTCTGAAATGAGTCATAAATGCCGTGAACTTTAAATAACGCCAGAAACTTCAGGATTAATGGATTCGTACCCAAATCCCTCATGACGCCTTTGCGAATTCTAGTAAGCAACCGGCAGCCTTGATCACTAAACACAACTGTCCCTCCATCTTTCCACTCGTTAAATTCTGACGTATGTTTTATTGTAGAGACAGCGCATCCATGTGTTCCTAATCTCTGTCAGAACGGTGCCACTTGTCAGGTGTCAAAAGATAAAAAGAGTTTTACTTGCAGCTGTAAAGGCAGTTTCAAACCTCCTCTTTGTAGTAAGTAACTAAATATTTTTAGATTTTCTTTCTTTCCTAGGACAACATTTGAATGGAACAAACTCCCGAAAGAAAGTGTTACCGAACTTACCAGTCAATATCTCTCTACTTTTAAAAGTAAACTTTGTTAGGTTATTTTTAATTGCAATTTTTATTAGTTTTATTTGTAGTTTTAGTTTTTATTATCATTTTAATGTTTCAGAGTTGGCGTAATGTCCTCTGGATGTTGCCGACGTAATAATACTTAGATTTAGATTTAGATTTAGATTTAGAATATCACTCTTCTGACAATATATAATACTAGACATGACGCATGCATGTTTGCAGTGTACAGACGTCATGACCTGATTAAAATTAGTCCCTAGACGGAAGATAAGAAATGTAGCAATTTACCTTGGCTGTATGATCTCCTTGCTAGCCTCTTCGAACACCTTACAAAATAGCGTCTTCGAAAGGCACCCTTTTACAACTGAGTTTGAAAGAATTTGTTTCGATGTAAGTGATGGGCGTTTTTCATCACTTCAACTTGGCCGATACATTAATTAATGTATGCTTCTACAGATTAAAAGGTGAGCAAGGCCTTAATTTTCAGAGTAGATTTACTTCGTTACCTTTTATTCACCCACTCTTCAATCTTGTTTGTGCTATTGTAAGCAATGATGAAATGTTGATTTCTGACGTTCGGATTGACTCTTTTCTGAGAATCAAGAATCAACATTTAAAAAAGAAGAACCAAGATTTGTAGAGTTTAACAGACACAAACGTCATCTCAATAGGCAGAGCTCTATTTGCTTATCTGTTTCCTTCCTGTTCAGCTTGTGACTGTCCAAAAGGTGATCCTCATTGGGTTCCTCCCATTCTTTCACAACAATGCAAAGAAAACGGAGCCTGCTACTGCCCTAGTTACAATGGAAAAATCTACACGTTGACAGAAAAAGGTTGCGAGGAAGCAAGTAAGAAATTATTTCTATGACATGACAATTGTTAAAAAGATTTCTTGGTATAAAAGAGTTCTAATGAATCTCGCGGACAACGTTATTCATACAGTTTCTTTGGAAACAACCTTCGAATAACAACATAACATCGTCCACTCGTTTACGTTTTATGCATGTGCATGTAATGGCGATGCATTAGAACATTATCCTTAGTTAGCCTTAAACCTTATTGTTGTTGAAAACTGCATTAAGGGATCGCCGACAGGACTCTTACTAATGGTTACTTACGAGATCCCCTTAATACTGGTTCGTTAAACACCGGAAAATATGGAAGCAAACATCTTCCTGTTAGAAAAGTTGAAAAAAGAAAAGTTTAGCCAAAATATATTTTGATACGTTGTGGCGAAATCATCTCTATACGTAATGAAATCATTCAGAGCATTATAAACAAAGGTTATATTTTTGTGATGGCTCTGTGATCTACACAATTAATGACAGAATAGAAAAATATCAGTATGCTTCTGTCTTGGTTGCGTTTTGGTCACCAGCTTTAACTCTCTCCAGGACAGAATCCTTGCGGCAGCAATCCATGCCAAAATGGCGGAAAATGCTTTCCCAGTCCCGATAAGTTGTCTTTTTTCTGCCAATGTCCCGAGCAATGTACAGGAGATCTTTGTCAAAACTGTGATGGTAAGTAACATTTATGATGATCGATCATTTGCATACCAATCTCTCTACCGGTGTAAAGTCAATTTGTATGTAAATTGCTTCAGTTTTCTAACCTTTATACTAGTTCTACTTTATGAGTATTCTTTTCCTTATTTTTCGGTAACCTAATTTAATGGGAACGTAAAAAACATGAATAATTGTATGTGAACTAGATAAACGTAAGACACTGGTACAAAATGGTTAGTACGCTGGACTTTCGATCGAGTTGTCTAGAATCAAGCGCTGATCGAGGTCCTTGCCAGACAGCCCTCTCACTGAGTTTCACCCACCCAAAGGTCCCTATGCGAATAATTAATGCGCGCCGGCGCTCCTTTAGGGAAACCTGGAAAATGCTTGAGATGAAATGACCTGCGATGGGTCAGCGTTACCCAGAAGCTGTGACAAATTACTCGTAGTCGCTTCGTGCTAGAGAAAACATAATAGGCTCATAAATTATTACTATTTTCGTATTTTTAGTTCTTTTTCCCAGTTTTCTCTCTGAACTACACAAAAAAGTATGAACATTTGATAAATTGATAGAATATAAAACATTTTGTAACTGGACAAAGTTCTGTTTTTATTTCATGTTTATTTTTTGTTAAGCTGCTCTTTAAAAAGCCTTACCTGCTTTTCCAAAACGCCAGATACGTTCTTTATAGAATTATGTTGATACACTTTTTTTTTCCTTTCTGTTCACAACTATTCAGCTACCAAGATTTGCAAGCCTGGATATTGCAAAAATGGTGGCACCTGTATAGTTGTGGGAACAAAGCCTTTCTGCAAATGTCCGCCGAGTTATCTACCGCCTGACTGTGGTCACCATACCATAGGTATAAGATTATTAGATTTAACTGAATTTTGCAGTAAAATAAAGTTAGTACTTTTTGTTAAAATATGTTTTTCCTAATTGTGTGCTATTTGGTCTAACGTATTTGGCGCAGATCCAAGTAAACGTAATCTTTGTCACCCCAACCCTTGTCAGAATGGTGGCACATGCAGGCTAGTAGGGTCTAACTCTCGTGAATGCAGCTGTCCCGAGCAGTATGGTGGAAAATACTGCGAACGTAAGTATTCCGGAAAATTCAAGTATGATATTAAATTTGTATGCATGTCGTTTGTAGCTAGTCAGTAAGGATACCTCGATAGAGGCAAACGCTCTTTTTCGAGAACTGGAGCGATATTATGGAATCAAATTTCTCCAGACTGGAGAGATTTATCTAAACCAATCTTTAAGAAAAAAATTCGTAG